TTGAAATTAGCATCAAAAGCGTGTGATATCCCAAAAAAATGGAAAAAAATCCAATTATTAATTTACAAAAATATTTATATCTGCAATATCGATTGTTAAGGACATAAACACCATCTTCCAACCATTCTTCTTAGAGGACAAATAATTGAATATTGGTATTCATACACACAAATAATTTTATCATTTTTAAATTATTTAGAACAGGATACCAAACCTTACTATCTATCAGGTATCTTAAATCTTACTTATAAATAAAGAAAATAAAGATATAAATAAAGAATTGACTTTGCTTTCAAATCTCCACATTGTCATATTGCATTAATGGAATGATAATGATAATTCTAGAATAATAATTATAGAAATTTAAAGTACATAAATTAAGTTAAACTTACTTATGTTGACTATTTGGCATTAATTTATTTCCCCAAGGATAGAGTCTATCAGAAAGTCCACCGCGGCATGCAACTTCCCATTCTGCTTCAGTTGGCAATCTTTTACCTATCCAATTACAGTAAGCAACTGCATCGTTCCAAGAGACATGAACAACAGGATGGTCCATTCTGACTAAATATTTTCTATTAATTTTTTTTATAATTTAGACACTTATAATATTTGTTGTATATATCTTATAAGGCTAATTATTTTTTTATTTGTGTTATTAGACATAATAGCTGATGTGCGTGTAATATTTATTTTCTGGCATTATATATCTTTTAATTAAATGTAAAATTTAAATCAATTCTACTAATTTGTTTAGCAACTATATATGTCTATAAGTAGTTGTCATATGATATAAGTAGTCATATGACATAAAGAAAATTATTTATATAATTAGATATCTTCAACATTTAATCAAGCACAAAGTAGAAACTCTTTGTAGAAAATATGAAATAATGTAATCTTCTTATAATTTTCTTATTCATAATGATATATACATGTATGAAAGATATATACAAGATACAAGTTGTCAAATTATGCTTACAATATAAAGTGAAGAAAATGAGAAAATCAATCAGAAATGGAAAAACAACAATAATTAAATACCTGTTCTAAAATTTGTTAAAAAATAGATAGATACATACAAGTAATATTTGAGTTTGGACCTTCTGGATGTTGCCATGAGGCTTCCTTCACAGGTAACCACCAAGGAGCTTGCGCAACTGCCTTATTGATTTTGTTTTTCATGTTTTGTGTTAAAAGATTCTCGAAGACAAAAGAATCTCCAAAACTTTCTGCTTCAGTTATATATCCTGTGGTGCTTACAAAAGCCATATAGTCCTTATTACTCACTTCAAATTTATCTATGTAAAAATTAGTTAATACTACTTCACGTTTTGGTCCCTCTCCATCGGCTACAAAAACTGGATTATTTGTTCCTATGAAATATGTACCAGCGTCGATTTTAACCATTTGTTTTATTTGTTCTTCTTTTACATTATTTGCATCAAATTTAATATTGTTTACAACACAATATTCTTTCCGAGGTACAAGAATCGATTGTCGATTCAATTTGCTGATGCATTGGCAACTGCTATCTTTTGTGGCGTTTATACATAAGTAATAATATCCGAGTATTATTTGAATTTTATAGAAATAATTAAAAAGTGTGACTTTAGTATTACGAGATGTATACATTTTTGCTCTAAATCTGAAGTTTTATACAATAGTCACGTTTAATAGCAAATCTGTTCTTGTAAGTGTATACTGTTGTAGTAGGTTTAGAATAGAGACTTGTATGGTACTAAGATTATCTTTAAGATTAATATACACTGTCAGTACTAAACATTTATGGCCTTTTTTTAATAGGAAAGCTGGTCCAGCAACTTCAGTTGTGCTAGGTTTCGACGAAAACTGCACTAATGCATTAACAATAGATTTAGTATTGTTCAGTGGAACGCATCACATTACATTCTGTTGTCACGATAATTTCATAACCTTAAAAGAGTTAAATTATTTATTTAAAAATGGAATCAGAAAATAATAGCTTATTTAACAATAATCCAGATAATTATACAATTTAACTTCCTCACCTGAAATATGGATAAAGTTGGACTTATTCAACGCGTTTTTGCACGAAGCAAATGAATCCGGCAGAAATAAGCGTCGCTCTGCCTCACAAAACGATATTAATTTGATTAAATGTCATTGTGCAGTTTATATTATATAACTTTAAATTAAAACTAAGGTAATTATGAAGGAAACGGGCCTTCTTCTTTCACCGATTTGAAATCTGAAAGTTTGCAATATCGTGTATTTTGGTGCGTGACACAAACATAAAAATATAAAAAAACCGGCATTCTCAAATAATAAGAAAAAGTTATAAAGTACAAAGGTGCTAATTGTGGTAATCAGAAAATCTGCCATGTCGACCGTGTCGCATATAAGTGTATAATATACGCAAAATGATGTAAAATGTGCAAAATTTTTAATCACAAACTATTTTCTGCTATAATTTAAATTATATAAATTATATAAAAGAATAATTCGTGTTTCTAATTAATTAAAGTAGAGGATATAGTAAATATATGGTGCATAAATTATCATTTTCTAACTTACCGACGTCAAAGAATTTTGGAAGTAAAAAACTTGATCTCCTTTTGAAAAATATATTCTGCATGTGAAAATATAGAAATTTACAAAATTATAGGAAAATCGGAGGAAAGAGCGTTACATCATATATTTATCTTTTTTAATTTTTTTCATGTACTGTATTCTTTCCAACATGTATGTATTCTATTTGATTCTATTCTATTCTATTGTAAAGAAGAATTCTATTGTAAAGAAGATTCAAATACAAGAATAAAAATTATTTTATTAATATAAGGTATAATTATTAAGTACGTATAAAATTTACACATGTACACGCTGCGCGACAATGATTCGAAAATCCAACTTACCGGCCTATCGGCCTGATTTACTTAGGGTCGATAACATCGATACTGAATCACGCTCGCGCTTCCAAAAGGTGCACATCGGAAGAAATACATTAATAAAGAATAATAAAAATAATAATTAATTCCTTATTTGTTTCATCTTTCTTTCTTTCTAATTTAGAAATGCATGAATTATATCTCCGTCATGTTACAAGTGTCGTATGCATCTTTATATTTATCTGTATAAATATGTAATTGTAATATGTAATTGTGCGTTTTGAATTATACATATATCCAAATAGATATAAACGACAATAGATTGTAAAAAATAATTAAATAATTAAAAAATGCATTTCTAAATTAACAAAGAAAGAAAGATAAAAAACAAATAAGAAATTAATTATTATTTTTATTATTCTTTATTAGCGCATGTATTTCTTCCGATGCACCTTTCGGAAGCGCGAGCGCGATTCAGTATCAATGTTATCGACTCTGAGTAAATCAGGCCGATAGGCCGGTAAGTTGGATTTCCGAATCATTGTCGCGCAGCGTGTACATGTATAACTTTTATACGTATTTAATAATTATTGCCTTACATTAATTATTTTTATTATTATTTTTATTATTCTTTATTATTGCATGTATTCCTTCCGATGTGCATCTTTTCGAAGCGTGCGCGCGTCGGTATTATCGATGTTATCGACCCTGCCTGAATAAATCAGTATCCGATAAGTTAGAGTTCCGGCGGGAAATCACCACGCGAATCATTGTCGCGCAGTGTCGACCTCTAATGTCGTCCTTTTATTATAATTTATTCAATTTTTGCAAATTAAAAAAAGAAATTAATAAAAATATTTTTATAATATTAAAATATTAAAATATTCTTTAAAATTCTTTAAAATTCTAATTAATAATTCTATTCTTTAAAATTTCATTTTTACGAATGTATAATACACATTTAAAAAAAAATTGTTTATATATTAATAAATAATATATAAAATTGGTAATTAAATAAAATTATAATCACAATATCTGTTAATTTGAATTGAAGTAAAATCTTTTTTAATTAACAATTAAAATCCTTCATTTATATCGATAATACGAACACTAAAAAGAAACTTTATCGTGTCACAATATCTTAAAAATATTTATTTTGGAAGAGTTTCCACAGCTAAATTGTCTAGGCAAAACCATTAACTTGAAACTTCAGTATTTTTACAGCCTTGTCTACAAGACAAGTTAGAATAATTATTTCAATCATAAACTGAAGTTAAAATGGTTTTCTTCAAACATATCGATAAAGTTTTATCGATAAAGTATAACATCTATTATTGAAAAGAAAAAAACTTTACCTGAGTTATTAGTGCCACATTAGTGCATTATATTGATTTTTGGTTTAACTCTCTTGCTATAAATCTTAACTAATATAAAGCATAAAAAGATTCAAATATATCTATAATAAATTTTATATTTACGAGAGGTCATGTGCTTATTGAAAGTCTTAAATTTCGTACAAATATGCATACAATGAGAATATTCATAGATATTTTCACATATTTAGTTATGGGTGATTTGTTTTGAATTTATTTAAAATGAATCATCCATAGCTAAATTAACTGATGAATTTCTGCTGTCAGGAGATTGCATTGCAATATAGCGTCTCCGTAAAATTTCTTGCAAATCATTGCAGGGACTATTTTCACGCTTCACTCGTATAGGATGTCCGCCTGGAGACCTATAAATAATCAACATACAATACTGTTTTATTTGATTTTATTTTTTAATACCTATAAGACTTGCACAATTATTATTATTAAATATTAAATTATTTATAAACAAGAAATTAAATTTTCCTACGTAAGCAAAATAATTTTTTTCTGTACAATCAATTCAATAGATATAGATTGGAAAATAAATTGATATAAAATATATTACTTTACTTTTTGGTATTTTAAATTTGCTTTACATTAGTAATAAATATATCCATGTCATAATTTTTACCAAATTTAATTAAAATTCATAATTTTTACTAAAATTAATTAAAATTCATAACTATTATTCTATAAATCAAAAGACTTTTTATTCATATTACAAATCTATTCTAATACAAGATAACTTGCAAAAAAGTTGATCTTAACTTTTGTTTAATACAAGGAATTAATATATAATAAAATATAAAACCAAAAGTGTAAAATTGTATAAACATAAATTTTAATTTACCTCGCAACTGGTCTTAATTTTACATTATCAATATCCTTTAGCGCTTCACCCATCGATTTTTGTACACTCAATGGAATCTTTTTACGATCCTCAATTTTGTGATCTTGCAAACTAGCTCTTCTTGCAATATGTGGTGTTGTGGGTGGTAAAAGTGGAAGTGGAAGCGGAGGTGGAGGTGGAGGTGGCGATGGTACCGACAATGATTTTATGCTATCTGCCCCGTTAGGTAGAGATGTGACGGATGCATCTATAAGACGAACATAAATTATATCTTTACCAAGAAAAATCATATCAAGTATTTTGATATAAAATAAAGCATATATCTTACATACATTTGGATAATTTATTATTTTTTACAATTGTTGAAATTTGTTCTCTAAGTTCTTGTAACTCTTGTTCTAATGCAAGTAATCGTACTTCAGATCCAAAACTAATTGGTTCCAATAAGTCTGGCCTGCTATCAGAAAAGTAGTCATTAAATTTTAAGAATATTGCAGAATAAATATATATACTTGAATATATATTTGAACATACATGCTTATTAGATAAAATGGAGTACTTACCTCATAGAATATCCATTTGTATCAACATAATTGTTACTAGTTTCTTCATTAATCATTGAATTTGTCATTAAATGTAATGGTGTTACACTGACATATATTTTTGGTGGAGGTTTTAGGGGTAAGAAAGATCCAATTCTTCTTACAATACTTCTTCTTTTTCCATAATATTTGATATCACCCATCTATAAAAAAATATTATAATTTTTATAACTTGGATATAATATCAAATATATTTTCAAGATATGTGAAATTAAAAAATGAAGCAAACAAATATAATTAAGTTTTAAAATGTTATTCTAACTTATATTATAAACTAATGATGAAATACAATATAGTTATTGCATATGTTTAGTATAAAAGTAGTAAATACATTTATTTTTAAATTATATATTATTAATAATGTCAACTCACAAAATATTAACAAAATAATTAATTATATACTTGTATTTATATATGTTTGTTTAAAATATATCATTTCAAAATCTTTTAAAATTTTACAAGTTCAATATTGCAATATCTAAAATATGAACGTGTACTTATTGTGTGTGATATATGTATATGTATATGGTGTGTGTGTGTGTGTGTGTGTGTGTGTGTATGTATATATATGTGTATATGTTTATGTATGTGCTGTGTGTATGCACATATGTGGTACATAAGTATTACATATGTTTGCATTCAGTGTACATATATGTCAAATATATGCATTTTAGTTCAAATATTACACTCATTTATGGAATTTGTATTTATTGTATACATACAATAAATGTCACCATATTTACCATACCACTGTCACCATATCATGTACATCGAATAAAGCTTCTTACCTTTATAATCAATTATAATCGTCGAAAACTTCAATCTATGTACAAGTAATAGCGTAAAATCGTAATGCGACGCAATACGTAATACTTAACGAAGGTCGAAAAATTCGAAGTTAAAATAGCTTTATTACGTTAATGTCAACACTACCACGCACTTGACGATTACGAGATGGTGCGAATCGTTCACTTGAGATTTTTAACGTAGTATTTGATGTTTACTAACTACGTGCATTTTATCATACATTTTTCGGTCGTTTTTATCTTACGATATTTATCTTCCATTCTGTCCGTATACAATAATATATATTGCAGTTGTACAATTTTTATATATACATATATATATATATATATATACACATACTACTTTTATTCACATCTTTACGGAAGAGGTTATAGAAGAATAAAACCAACCTGATGTCTTTACAATGACGTAGATCAACCTTTTATTGCTTCTTTGAACCAAATATATATTCTTTTGTAATTTTTCAAATCGGTTTTTTATGGAAATATATGTGATAATTAATTTTGCGATTAGGTAAAAGGTCTTTTATAAAGTACGCTTCTAAATCGCTAATGTAAAAGAAAACATTTTACATAAATGTAAATGAAAAGTATGGAATACATTTTAATATGCATGTATTAATTGCAGTTTAAGTATTTTGTGAATTAGATATTTTTAATATTAAAAATTAAAAAATTATTAAAAATTATCAAATTCATAGATACAAGCCTAGGAAAATATATGATTTACGTTTTTTTCAGATTTCGATGAAAATATATTCAACCGATATTTTTTCGTTAAGACAATAGTTTGAAAAGGGAGAATCGTCGCTTGTTGTCTTCAATGAACAATTAAGCTTCAAGGCTAACGTATAGGTTAAGAAATCTGTCATATCGACAGATCCAATTTATGACTCCTTTACACAGAACATGGCACATATTAAGCTGCTTTTTCATGCGAACGAAGAAATTTAAATTTTTTCCCTCTTCATTAATTTTTGACAAAAATTGACAAATTATGAATGCGTTCCGTCTTTTTTTTTTTTGTATGATACAAAAACGTCCGTTTGATCACGTTACAATTGGACGCAGCCATTTACAGCCGCCGATGCTTGAATGTTTTCCACTGAATCAATCAATAAAAAAATTTTATTTTAAATTGGCTAATCAGTAACGTGATTAAACGGGCATCACGCGTACATCACATAATGGGGGTTTCGTTAAGGCAATAGGGTGGCGCCCGATTGTCCACATTGCCGATTGGCCAATTTAAAATAAAATTATTTGATTGGTTGATCCAGCGGAAAATCTCCAGGCATCGGTCGCTGTGTTCAATTGCAACGGGGCGATCAAGGACGTTTCCGTGCACATACGGGTGTGGTCCAATCGGACACATTGCCGATTGGTCGAGTAAATAAAAAAATTTTTGATAGGTAGCTCACTAGAAAATTCTTAGGGCATCGGCTGATATGAGTGGTGTGTCCGATTGAAAATGGGCACGCATCTGGATCGCTTCATAGCACATACTGCTCTATCTCTTCCATTATCTCTCGGCATGCCTCGTCTATTCATACCATATCTATGCTTCAAGTTTTTCTCTTGTTTATAGTGTTATGGTTTTATAATGTATGATTGTTATTCACTATATTACTATGAACGCGATTACTTTAATTGCAATGCTGTTGTTTGTTGAATTATGCTGCAGCACTCTGTCACCACCAATAAAAAAAGTAAGAAAGAGAAAGAAAAATCTAATAATAAAGTAAGTATTGAAAAAGAATAAATATTAAATTTGAGTTATTGGCGTTAGATTTTAATTACAATACACTCACTCAGTGTCTTTTTGTATAAGAATTATTATTGGCAATATATATGGTAGTATAACCATATATAACATAATTATAACATAATTAATAATCAGGGGCGGCATAATACATGAAGGGAATTAAGTATAATATGAAGGTTCAAATATCAGTTTCTTAAAAGTATAAAAAGTCCGCGTATACATCGTAGGATAAATGTTTAGTGTAGATCGGCCACCTTAAAATTAAATGAATTTAACTTTACACTCATTCGATTCCTTTTTGTCTAAAGCGAGAAAATTTGGCAGAAAAAAGTGTCGTTCTGTCTCGCCAACTGAGATAATCGTTAAAGTTGACATCTTATAGGTTAGGAAATTTGTCATATCGGCCTGATACAGCGCTATGTACTTTTGTATAACTCAGACTACAAACTCCAAAATTGGTACACAGGATATTTTAAAAACATTTTTGCAAAAGACATCTTTAAGATTTTTTAACATTTTTTAAACATTTTTTAAACGATTTTTAGGCATCTTTTGCAGTGATCTTTAATACGTCTTATATCCCAATTTTGGATTTGTGTTGTCTGAAAATTCATAAAAATGATTGATATCACTATTTTCATCTCTTATTCATATGATCCAAATTGTTACAAAGTATAGTTCCCATACATGTATTAAGAATCTCAAATTTTAGCTTTAGAAGAAGATAGCGATTTATCAATATACTCAGAATTTCAGATTCAACTACACAATAGTACGTATATTCTATTAAAACAATTATAATTAGTAAGTTTGATATAAGTTTGTATTATTTTGTATTTATTTGAGAGCTAAGTATAACACATAGAGAAAGGAAAAGAAAAGGTAAAACGATCAGATATACAAAACATTTAGTGCTTTAATTACACTGTGGGGATTTGTTTCAATTATAAAACGTAAATTGATATTTACTTCAAACTACTTATCTCTTACAATATCTATGAAAAATAAAATAATAGACGAGATATAATCGTATGTAGTCATTTAGATAAACATCTTATAAATGTCTAAACATTTTATAGATACCTTACAAACATCATACAAACATTCAAATAAATGTCGTGTTATAGTCATCTAATTCAAGTGACATACAAAAACTAAATTCTCAAATTTATTTAAACGATTCAAATTTATTTAAACAAATTTTTGGCGTCTACCGACATCAACCGTTATTTTAGATGTCGATTTACCATTTTTTCATCTATCATTTTTTATTGAATAAAGTGAAATGATAAAGTTGAAATGATGAAAATTGGTTCCCTGACACACCTGAGTTTGCACTTCGTCACTTAAACTAGGATTTTAGACTTTCCTTATCCTTCTATTCCCAAGTCCATAAACAACAATAGCATTTTAAATTACATTTCGTTTACGTACGCTTTTTGCTAAATTAAAACATTAAATATTCTATTATTATAGAACTAGTATTGATATTATAATACACATTAATATCGATTATTTTGTTTTTAAAACTCTTAATAGTAGGAGATATATCAGCTAATATATGTCTAACCTTATGGATAATATTAAATTAATAAATGCATATACTTACGTTACATATACCTATATGTTTATGAACGTATATATAAATTATGCGTTATATATGTTAAACATATATATAAATAAATATTATAATATAAATATTATTTATTTTAATTATATTTTATAAGGTGTACAAAGGTCCTGTGGATCAAGATGTTTTTCAAAAAAACTTGGTAGTGGAAAATCCTAAACAGCAAGACATTCTATATGAATCTGGTCAATATTTTCAAAATACAAAGTATAGAAGATTTAAAGGAGAGGTTCTGGGATATTGTACACCTGTAAGTAATTACATACTTATCGTAACGCTGTCTAGTTACATAAAGTTACAAGAATGAAATTCAATGATATTTTTTATATTGATATGAATATTCAATTTTATAGTGGAATGGAAATGGTTTTGAGATTTCAAAAATATTTCATGGTAAATTTACAATGTTATCTCCGGTATGGTTAACCATTCCTTTTGGCAATACGTCAACTTATCAATTTTCTATTCATTCTGTCCAAACTAAATGGATAAAAGAAATAAAAGCCAATAATAATATTAATCATAGCGTAAAACGTAAGTTGAAAATGATTAAAATATGATTATAATTTTATATTGATATTATTGTCATTTTTAGTTATACCTCGCATATTATTTGAACACTGGTCAATTGATGACATCATTAAGCTATATAGTAATACAGAAAGCCAAACTAAATTAATAGTGTCTCTTTTGGATGTTGCTCAGGTATATCACATAATTTAAAGGATTTGTTTTTACAAAATATATTGAATTTAAGCGGATTTCGTGAACAATTAAAGATAAATATTTTCTGTACAAAAATTATCTCGTTTTGTACATAATTAGTTTTTTAATATAAGTATAGAAATAATTTTCATAGATCAATTTAATTTTTTTAAATGACATTATTTTATTCATAATATAACAATTGTTGCGTTTAATTATTTATTGAAAGTCATTTAAGATTATTGAAGATTGTAAACTAATGAAACTTTAAAAGGACTCTGCATGTTTCTTATAGAAATGAGATTTTGGTCAAATTGGCTAAAATTTTGATATGACATAGGTTTTGACTCACATTAAAAGTTTCAATGATTACCAAGCCAAATAATTCAAAGTTTTGAAGTTATAAATATAAATAAGTTTTGGAAGTAAAATAATAATATAAGTTTATAAGTAATAAGTTTTGGAGTTATAAATATATTCTTATCTCTGAATATAATATATTGACTATTTATATAATGGTGGTTTTTGTTCCAATTCTTGCAACGAGTCATCGTTATATATGATTTGCATAATAAAAAATAAATTACGTCCGATATAATTTCTGTATGAATATATCGTATCGCGTGTATTATGAGAGATATGTATGTATGTGTGTGCAAGTAAAAGTGTAATGACACTTTTCAAGAAAAAAAAAAATACATTAAATCTCAAGTGCCTTCCGTCATACTGTTTGATGATGGAGATCAATTTTGGATATTTGAATCGCTATAACTCTGAAACTTTTCATTGGCGATCATTGAGATTTTTGAGTGAGTCAACCTACATCATATTAAAATTTCAACTAATTTGACCGGGACCCCATTTCCATAAGAACCGTGCGAGGTTTTTTATCAATACGTTTAATTTAAATTAATATAAATTTCATAATTCCTATTTGTTTTTTTTCAATGTGTTCTTTATTATTAAAAATTCTGCAATTTTTTAAACATTCTGTTTTGATATTTTTTACTGTTTTATTTATTATCGTTATATATGCAATTGTAATTCTCATATACAATTCATTAATAATATATAACGATGTGTTTTAAATAACTCAAAAGAAACATTAGAAATACCATCACTATTTTTGAGTTGCGTGTTCTTCATCAAATAATTTGATGGTGCTGTTTTTTTATTTTATTGTGATGATATCGGTCGTCTTTTGTAATAATATGCTTGAAAAAAAACATAATCGTTAAATGGACTTGTTTCTATATTTTAATGTTCTATTAATTCTTAAAGATTCATACCTATCAAACCTATCAACCTATCAAACAGGTTTATAACATAAACACCTTATGATAAATTATCAAATAGGATTAGTTTATTACGGACAGAGGACAAAAGTGTACAGAGTATCCCAGATAGCAAAATGTTAGCAGTTTGCTGGCCGATTGGCAGCCAATTTAATCACACACACACACACACACACACACACACACACACACACACACACACACACACACACACACACACACACACACACACACACACACTACTA